TAGACGAGTATGAAGGAACCGTGTTCTTGCTTTTTATTAGCTCAGCACAGTCTGTCACGCGGAACTGACGTTCTTGGCAACGTGTCCTAACTTAAAGACGGTTGGAAACTTCTCTTATAGAAGTTGCGTCTATTGAAAGCTCTATCAGTCGCGAACGCACATTATGGTGAAGGAAGTTTCGCAATTCCGAGATTTCTCTACCAAATCACAATACCCTAAAGTCAACAAGTTGTACTTGTGTCGAAAGTAGGTATTTATCGTAGTATTATTCACAGAGAATATTCCATGACTTTTAAACATGTCACAAACTTTTATTTTATAAATAAAAAAAAATGCATGATTATTTTTCATATTTATTTTAATTTACTACTTCAAACAAATTGTGCAAGATTATTTTTCTATTATCATTATTTTACTACTTTCATTGCTTCCAACGTTATAATATTATTTTTTTGTAATGTGGTAAACTGATAACGCAAAGCTAGAAGCACGAATAATGATAGATCGATTTATCTTGCGACAATGAATGAAATATCGGGAGTCTTTACAATGTGTCAGACTATTTTTAGAACATTACTGGGTGGAGAGCGATCAGATGCATGGTCTGTTGCATGTGAATGCGCTTCCTATACGTTGAATATTCATGCAACAATCTGTAATTTGTGTCGAGCCAAAGGTCCGCACATATATTTGCAACCATCAACATAATTTTTCATCCAACAATCCTCGAATGAAGCGATTTTTCCGAATCACGAAACTAATGAATTTTAATCATATCAAGCGACCTGCGTTCGTGCTTGCTACTGCGCGATACATCTGATTGCAATCTTGCGTGTGTGACAGAAAAATCTTTTATTAGAAGCTACGTAATTGCAATGCTTTTGCAGCTTTTGATTAAACTGTCGGGATGCGATATAGAAATGTTGGAAATAAAAAATAAAAACGAGAACATATACTACTCCCAATTTAATTAAATTTCTAGAATTTCGATAAAGGTTACGTTAAATTATTTTAATTCAGGTCGGACTTTTGTACTTGAATAGAACAGATTCTATTAACTTGAGCGTCTGTTGTGATGTAAATGTATCCCATTAAATAACAATTATATTCAACAAACGCGGCCTCGGTTTCGAATCAAAATCGTCGATGAGATTAAAAAATGGATCAAAATGGCATTAATCCTCAATTTATTTCATATAAATTCGATCTCGGTAAATCTTAATTTTAGATTTAATTTTGGATTCCAAGGATATTTAGGTAATATTGAGATTCGTATGTACTCTCAAATTCTCACTAAACTCCCTGCAGTTTGATGCAAATTTTGCGGGAACATCTGATGGCGCGCACACATACATCCCGCACACAGTGGTAACAACAAACGGCGTAAAAGTCGTAAAAGGGAAAACTATTGGGGAAAACGGTGTACATGTCGGAGTAATAGAAGGACATTCTTAATACCCAGGGGTCCGGAAACGCGCGCCGACACGAGAAATCTCTCAGGAGCGCCGACAATATCCCCCGTTTTTCACATTGTGTTTCTTGCGCTCGTGCGCCAGAATCTCTCGGCTGTTCTCGAATCTCATCCCCGGAAAATTAGTAGAACCGTGTGTTATCCTCCGTTCTGTCGTCGGAATCGAAACTACGAAAAAAGCGGGTAGTCGCCATCTCGTTGCCGTCTAGCAACGTCGTCGACAGTGAGAAAACGATAATTATAGACGAAAGTACGATGATACGATTATTGTAACAAATTAGGACGTTAATTTCCTAAAAGCTCGCCGCGCGCCGATGTTTGCTCGAAGACAAGTTGCTAGGAGAAAAAAGCGGAGAGACGACAATGCACCGAAGATGGTTGGTCGGTTAACGCGGATGGTCGGTTCAACGGAACGGAAAGAGGAGGTGTGAAATGGTGAGACCCACCACCGTTAAATATTTTCCACTCTTTTCCCATGTTCACTCTCCAGCCCTATCGATATCTAGTCGACTGATAGCGGCGTAGCCAGCGGAGGGTGCCTATCAGCATCCTAACACCGTCGCCGTCGACATGGACCAATGCCCAGCCGCGTTTAAACAGGGTGAATTTTGAACATGTAGGTGGACTATCGATATATATATATATATATATATATAGATAGTCCCCCTACATGTTCAAAATTCACCCTGTTATATAATACGCTGCTATCCCGCGTATCAAATCGAAATGGTCGAACTCGATGGCATTACCCTCTCGACATCTCACGCTCGCTTTTCATCGGGAAGCGAATGGAGCGCACTTGAAAATACGCCGTTTACGCCCGCAATCAGTGCGTATCTCGATAAAAAAAACTTCCTTCCATGTTGATCGTGTAGTGAGTGAATTATTCCTTTCCAATTGCCCGATCTGCACTAATCTATATTTAAGAAAAAATTTTTGGTATTTGTGACTCTATAATTACATGTTATCTCTATAATTACATAATTATGATTATGATTATATTATGTTAGTAATTATATATGTATAGGTTTCATCAACAAATACTGATAGTTGACAACAGAAAATGACTAACTACAAGTAGTTAACTATAAATAATTAAGTTATAGTAACATTTTTATGATAATAATAATATTAATAATTGCTGTAGTCATTTTTGTTGCCAATTATAGACTGGATTTGTTAATAAAACTATATATACAGTTATTATCACTAATATATGTATAACCATAATTGTGGCAACATGTATTTATAGTCGAAATATCAAAATATTTTTTCTTGATGTAAGAGGATTTAGAATTAAGCTCCGTTATTTAATTTATAATGGACAGGAAAAGCAATTTCGTCATATAAAAATAATAGGACCATAATGGCAGACATTTTCCACCGTCACTTTTTGTTTCCTCTCCTCCTCTCCTTCTCTCCTTCTCCGTTTTTCTGATATAAATCTATTCTTGTATATATGAACAGCACAGTGACAACGTATTGACTCGCAAGCTAAAGGTTGCGACATAATTTCGTGATAAACAAGAACATATTCTGATTAGTGAGGATAAAGGAAATTACGTAAATCTCTCGCTCATACATACAATTCTATTGTGTCGAATTTTTATCGAATAAAATGGGGATGCGTAAAAACATTTAAAATGTCAAAATAAAAGGTTGCAAACTCCTAAACACGTGACATACCGTTATCTCTATCTACCTTCTATTTCTATATGCGGTTAAAGGGTAAAATCGCCTACGACAGTCCATAGGGCAAAAGAGAGAGGATAGTAAAAGGGTACTAAAACGCAGAATTCTAAGAACTTAGTGGTTCAAAGAGGGCTTTTGGTCGGAAGGGAAAGCAAAATAGCCTCTGTTGGTTTTTGAGACAATGAATACGGGAAGTTGTTTTTGGGAGCCTGCCTTAAATATCTATAGTTCTAATGGAAAGCACATATATTCTGAAATTTTTAAAACGTACTTTCAGTATATTAAATCTAAATCCGTTCGTTCATTTTTTTCCATATTTAAATTGATTGAAAAGACTTTTTGTAATGACAATAACGTTTCAATATAATATAAACACAAAAACTGCGTAAATAAAGAATTTACATATGTAACGATGTAGAGCACTTTCGAAATATAAATTATTGCTGCATGAATCTCTGATTATTCGGCGTTATATATGTATATTTTTTTTTAGGGCAGTCTGGGTCACCTGTTATCGCTTACCGTTAGAAACTGCTTTCCCCGTTGAAGAGAAAATTTAAGAACTTGCAAGGGAAGAGAGTTAACGCCCATTATACACTTTACTCATCTATTGTCTTTTCCTTGCTTATAAAAAAATTTATTAATACTCCACGTTTCGTATCATAATACTTTCATCTGATGTACGTTAAAGGAAATCGTTTATCGGCCGAGGATAGATAAGAATGACGGAATCTACGCTACGGATAACTGTCAGTAGACTGTTGTAATTATTCAAGCGTTGTAATTCAGACCAACATAAATATAATTCTAGCTCGAGATTAACGATAAGCGAGTAATTGCAGGGACAAAATACTTATAATTGTTGAAACGAGACAATGCTAAATTTCAAGACATCACGAAAAGCATAATCCTTTAGATTATTTTCATTATTCTATTCATAAAATCCAAAAATAGTTTGCCATTAATTAATAAATTCTATAATATTGATTTTTCAATCAATAACGCAATTTATTTAATATAATATTCTCGCATATCGAATCATATTATTTAATATTTATTTATTTTTAGTTATCGTATATCTTTTTATATATAGATCTTTAGAACTTGAAAAATATTATCACGAATCTTTTCCCATACATTCAATTAAAAGAGAAAAAAAGCAACGACGAAATTTATTATGAAGTTGCATCAAAAATTAATCGTGAATACTCACGATCGCTCTTATAAGCTGCTTTCGCGCAGTACAAGTACCGAGAGCTCTTCTTGGAAGCACGCTCATTATTTAAGACGCGATGATACGCATCGTGAAAATGTCATCGCCGATTCGAGTCGTACCGCCGTTGTCGTCGTCGTCGTCGTCACATCGCCGTGCTTGGTCGAAGATCAGTGATTTCTCGCGTGCGCGAGGGTGGCAAATCGAATCTCGGAGGACGTTCGCGCGATCAGAAGAAGATGGAAAAGCGAGGAAAAGTCGAAGGGCCGGGCTCGCCCGAGGGTATCGAGAGGTGAAGAGGTATAGAGAAAGCCAGCCGGTGAGGGAACGAAAGAGGGTCGAAGGGCTGGATGTGGGTTTGGGCGACGTGCGAGCGTACAGAGGGATCCAGAGGGGTAGGGTAGGGTAGATCGTCGGAAGGGTGACGAACGGGGAGGGTTGAATCGGCGCTTGCGTGGTAGCCGGTCCTATCTACTTGTCAGCCAAGCAAAGCTGCCACCACCCCGGTGCTTTGCCTCTCTCTCGCTCGCGACGCCGCGCTACTCGATAACAAACTCTACAGTACCAGTACTGTCACGGTACTCCGGACCACCGGATCGCCCACTGTCCGTCGCCGATTTACAAACTCGCAGCTACGCGCACGACAAATTTGGGACTTACATGCTTACGTGTAATTTCCTCTTCGTTAATTTCGCGAGAGGACGTGTGCAACTGGGAGACCTCTCTCTTCCGACTCTCGCGTTTCCTTTTTTCCTCCCCCCCTCCCCTCTCTTTCCTCTCCCTCCCCCCTCGGAAAGAATCCTCATGCGATACGTCTTCGATCGTAGCGTGCGTCAAGATGCGCGTTGATTGATCGCAATCGCGAGGACTGACCGAGGCAACTTTGAAGTTTTATTCTTCCTCTTTCAAACTCTTCTGCTCGTTCGTGCTTCCAATTTAAAACTTGCATTTGCGATCCACTAAATCCATATTTGTTTTCAAAAGTTTATAAGATCAATTAAAAAAGTTTAGTCGTGATGTTTGATACGTATGTATATCTAATTTGCAAAGTACTACAGATTTAAAATTGCATCTTATTTGGTTACTCAAGTAGGTAAATGGAACTTTCAAACATGAATGTGGGTTCAGTGGATACAGGCGTTATTTGGCAGATCCAGGACTGAATTTCCTACGGGCTAGTTTCACCAACGTCGATTAACGCAAACCGTGATTGACTGAGGGTTGGCTGTACTAACGTCGCTTAGGTTCTGACATCGGTTAAGTCAATTTTCTCTCTCCCTGTTCATATCGTAGGTAGAACTATGATCTACAAAGAGATAGCCATCGCTGAGCCAGATTTGCTCGACCTACATGATTGATGCAATTCGGCTCAACTTCGTTCTCCATCTACCTTACAGAGAGAATGAATGACGTGATGATTAGTATAATCAGGGAATATTTCCAGAGAATATTCCCATCGACAACACGTCAAATTATATTCTGTATTACAACTGACACAATCAGCAAAAAAAAGGATTAATTAAACTATGGTTAGCGTTAATCAACAAGCCAGTGAAACTCGCTTTTTGAAACTTGGCTGTCTTCAGCCTCGAAATAAACGGTCGACAGCGGAATCGTCCGTCCACTTTCCCGTTCTCTTTTGTACGCTGTTGGTTATGGTGTATAACTTGTTGCTCGCAGGCAAACAAACGTGCAGTGACCGCGGATTGCAATTTTACATCTTCGAACCGGTCATCGATAGCAGATTGCCATGCTTGCTTTCGGAGAAGCCTTTTTTCTATAATTCCCCGTCTCCGTTCGATACAGCAATAAAAATGAAGACCCGTCGACACACGTCTGTTATTCAGAAGTGATAGAGGATGAGAGAAAAATCGAGGCAAAGAGAAAGAAAAGGAAGGATAGAACAGAAATATCGTAAAGGATATACGGTATCCCGATCGTATCCTACTGTCGGCCAAGCTTCCTCGTTATTTGCGGCTTAGGATGGCTGTGGAGCAAACATAGCCGTCGCCACCATTCTCCGATATTTGCCACTGCGATTATCCCCTTTTCTCTCACAAGATCATGGATATTCGTCGCGACGATCTCCCTCGATCTCCGAGCTGAGAACTCGATTGCTAGCCGATTATCGCCACCGGCGGAACAGAGGTATCAGACAAATTGAAAAATTCGGAACCATATCCCTCGAGTCTTGAAATCTCGATCTATTCCTTCGTGAGAGAGTTCGAATCGACTACGGGATATTATCCACTGATTGAGATTATACCGCGGAAATGAAGTTCCTCTCGGTTTAGGATAATTTCCAACTCAGGCGATCTTAACGTTGATCGTCCTTCGAGAGATCGACATCAAAGATGCTTCGTAATGAAGAGATCTATTAGAATATGACAGAAAAAGAAAGAGAGAGTGTATGTGTTTGCATAAACATTAGTTAAAAATTATGTGGTTCATTTAATATGCTGCCACTTTTCAAAAATAGAATTAAAAAATAGAAAGGATCGCTTAATTCTTCGCTAAATTTTATTAAGTTCAACTATTCTTAATAGAGATCAATCTACGCCCTCTATGACAAAATAACATCTCGATAAAGATTTACATTTTGCAGCAGGCTTCATCCGCATGTTCTAGTGCTTATGTTCGCTTTGTGCCTCCTTTCTCGCATACTGCAGGAAAAATTCGATTTCGTAGGATGGTGCGGTGGGATGACAAATTGAATTTTTCTCAGTTGTCCTCTACCGATCCCAGAGGAGCTCACGAAGTCCGTCCTCACGAAGGGTTTTATTTATTAAAAAAGGGCAGAGTCTCGTGCTAAGGCGCGCGCATCTCACTGTCGAGACTGACACTCGATTTCAGGAAGCGAGCAGCAAGCGCGATAAATTGACCGAGTAAACAAGACGAAAGCTCTTTGCGGTTTTCCCATCGCCATCCCTCGAGAGAAAGTGAGAATTAACTAATTACTGTGTTAAATGTAACTGGAATTGTACTTTTCAATGCATTCTTATTGATAAAAAGCGTGTGTCTCGTAAAATGTGAATTGCCGCGGAGATTAAGTAGTTACGGATAGTATTGGTCTGACCATGACCGACTTTTTTCACTGTTTAAAATTCAACCGTTGACTGGCCGCTTTCTTAACGAAGTTTGACGTGAGAGAATTAAGTAGCTATCGATAATAACAAAATTTAATTAATACCCCATCGCGTTTCTTTAAGATATTAAATGTTTGTTAAAATTTAAGTGATATCGGATTAAAATTGAGTAGACGTAAATAAGAACCTTCTTCAAAAATACTTTTTTGCGTGAATTTAAGTTATTCAAGATTAAGTTATTCAAAGATTCCTATTCTTTTTAGCATCTTTATTAACAAATAAAATCTGAATAAGAATTTTTTTCGTCGAGTTTCGATTGTTTTGCAAAATTGTGCTTCTACTTTTTTAAGAAGTTTCGCTAATAATAAATGCATCCTTTTTAATAGCGACTGTGCAATAAAATTAAGAAAAATAAATATTCAGGCATTCCTTGAAATATACCTCACTCTTAACTTTGCAGCGCCGAGAACTTTTGTTAGGCGCTTCTTGTGTCTTGGCAAACTGCACGAGTTAAACAGTTACGAATTGCTTACACTCGACGGTGTTACCCGTATTTCTCCCGCGTCCCAAATCCCGTCGTCGATTTGTAACGTTCTTTATTGCGAATGGATTTTGGGGAACAATAAAATCTCAAACTGTTACGCTCGCCACTGGGTGAAACTAATTTTTCTATCATTCAAAGCTCCGGCCATGAATTCCCTTTAAAGCCGCGCGTTCTGGAAAGCTGATGAAAAAAATTGAGTAGTTAAAGATTAAAGTTCATATATCGCTGATACTTTTTGTCATTTTATAATTTTTATTTTATTATAGTTAAATTTTTGAGAAAGGAATTATATATAATAATCATAATAATGTAAATATCAATTGTTAATATTAATTAGAATTTTATATATATATATATATATATATATACATATATATATGATGTTTTATGTACGTAGAATATTAATTATAAAAGAAACTTTAATTTAGTTTTATTGTCATTCATAGTACCTATTATATTTTTATATGTATATTATAGAAAAAAATATCGATAATAGCCTTTCGCAAGATGCAAAAATACTTTAAATAACTTTTTTAAAAAATATCGTTCTCATATGCTTTCAGCAGTTCCTTAATTTTTTAACAAAATAAAGAGACACAAGCACTACGTTCTTTCGGGTAGATTTAATTCGCATTCTTCTTGCCGAGGATCTGCCACTGATTTGCGACGCTTTTTCGACCGCAGCGAACATTCCGAAAAGCTATGAGAACTTAGGAATTACTTCTTCCAGTGAACTTAACACGTATATATCTTTCAGCATCTTTAGCGAGAATTCTTTCAGAAGTTTCTACTAGAAACGCTTGGAAATTTTTACGCTTGATTTTTTTAAGAAAGAATGTTTCGTACAGTTAAAAGTACCTATAGGATCAGCTAAACATGATCTTTCTGAGATTTTCATAAATTCCGTTATCAAGCAAAAAGAAATCTTGAAAGATAAATAGTCAGATAATTCGTTCAGATTTGACTTATATTTCGCGTACACTTCTCTTTTTTTTTTATAAATTAATATAAATAATCGTAAAAATTAAAGTTCACGCAGCTATAATATATCATAAATCGTTTCTTTCTTTGCTTATTTTACATACAAAAATTTGGAGGATTTAAAAAAATTGTAATTTTTAATGTATTTCTATGTATTTTTCTACATTCATCTTCCTTTACCCTTCTCTTAATTAATTTTTCAATGTCCAGCAATTTCTCAGGCAATTCTCCAAGGGAACATTTTCTCGTTTTCGATCCCTTGTAACTTCATTGCTTACCAGGCAGCTTTCGAGGCCTTGTTGCACGGTAGAGAAAGTTGGTTTCCCTTTGGGAAGACGATCATCCAAGAATGGGTTCTGTTACACGCTTTGTTTGTTCCTTCCCTAAAAACATCGGTTCGGCCCGGCGACCGTTTAATTTTCCCTCAGTGCGCAATGTCGGCAATTTCCGAGAGGGTCGTTAACACAGATCGCCAATCCTCCTTTGTGCTCATCGCCGACAGAAAGAGGTTACGATCTTCTTATCGCAAGCAACTAACGTGACACTCTTTAGAGCAAACAAATAGAGAACGCATACGAGACTCCATCAGAAATAACAGACTTAGCAATCTTTCAGAAGATTCAAACCGTCATCGTATTTTTTCTATCACTCTTTCTTTTTTGCCTTTTTCTTCTTGTTTCTCTTTCTCACTTCAATATCGAAAGAACGACAGGAGAAAAGAGGGGCCAGGGCGATTAATTGGAAAGCCGACGCGGGGATTAAAGATCCTGGAACCGCCCTTTTCTCTCGCAGCGGCAACGGCAGTGGCTCTTAACTGAAATTACGTCAATTGCGAGTGCGGTTGCACATTATCGACCAACGTAATTGGGTATTCGTTAGAAATAAATGGCCGTTAATGCAATTTTCGGCAGATATATCTCTCCCTCTCTTTCTCTCTCTCTCTCTCTCTCTCCTCCCTCTCTCTCTTCTTCTCTCTCCCCCTTTTCCTCTCTTTATCTCTCTTACATCTCCGCTAGTAATGTATACTTATCCAAGTCATGCTGAAATCAAGAGAAACATTATAAATCCAATAGCGTGCGTGGTCCTTCCTCTTTCACAGTAATGATCAGATGATTTAATCATTTACTGCACCGGCGAGAATCACCGAGATGCTAACGCGCTAACGGAGGGAAAACTTGCTACAAATCATCGTCGCAAAAATCAAGCACGATGTCGTCGTTGCGATATACCACCATCTCGTTGTTGTCCCAGCATCGTTAACACCGAAGACGGTCTTGTGATAAATTTCCAGCACATAGCGAAATAAATTGCATCGTGGATCATCAGGTAAGTTCCTTTCTCTATTGAACCTCATGTCGTAAAATTATGAGACTTACAATAGAGGTGAAAAGGAGATCAGTATAAAATTTTATTAGTTACGAAAATCCTAACAAATTTCAAAATATATATATCCGATAAAATGAAAGTCGTATCACTATAGAAACAGATAAGAATTTTCATAAGCAGAATATAATCATAAGCTTGAATAAAATAAGAGCATTCAATTTTTTTTTACTTCTTGAAAGGGATCGAAACCATATTTTTATCTATGGCAATGTTCCAAAATTCACCGCCAGCGTTGAAAATCTATAGTTTATGTTACGTGCACAGTAATTTTCAGCACTGACGGTGAGTTTTGGAACACGGCCTTCGTTTTAAATTTCAGTTCTATCTCATATGATGCTCAAAATAATTGATTATTTCAACAAGAGCACGAACGTGCTAGTCATTGTCTAATATTACAAGTCTTACGATTCCACGAAATGCGATATCACGTTTCAAAATTTCCTATCACGTTTCCACGTACGATTTCATGGCGGTTGGCTCGAATGTTGCCAGTAAACCGACGATACTTTCGGAGCGACCTCATGCTATAATGGCGGTCGTGTAATTATCTGCGATGCGTACTGCATTTAATGTTGTTTGGATGTCAATGCCGCGGGCAGAGGGGCAACGGGATTGGTAATTGTTGTTTACAACGCACTGCCGCGCGTCATTGTGCTATGATGATGGTGTCCTGATGCATAGTGAACGTTACGTTGATGGGAATTGACGGATTTTATTAGCGATGCAGAAGAGAAATTGATCAAATTGTCAATTGTCACATGTGGCTTATCCGGCGTGTACGTTTTAACAAAAAAAATTTGTTCCCACATGTCGTCGCAAAGTGTTGAACAGACAATGATTCAAACAGAGTACATATTTTTTATTAAATTACTTGACGTAATTGTTACGTGTGATTATTCGACATATTTTCATAATTTTTCTTTCTTTATATTACTATTATTTTCGTTTATATCTTAAAAAATTATTAATCACGATAATCTAAAATATAAGCAAAGTACATTTAAAAAAATGAAATTATTTAATATAATTATTTTGAGATAATTCGCCATATTTTTCACAATTTTTTCTATTCCTTATATACGTATTATTACTATTACTTTTTTTTTTTAATTGTCTCTAATTTCGTCACAAAGTTACCGAATTATCGAACAGCATCACGGTAATCGAAAATACAAAAAGTACATTTTCTTATTAAATTATTTAATATAAATATTACGTGATAATTCGAAAATTATAATTTTTCATAATTTTCTATATTCTTTATATTGCTATTACTTTCGTTTATAGTTTTACACACATCGCAGTCTTGATATTTCAATGTAGAATTAATTGCAGCGCGGAATGAATTTCGCCATCGCAAATAGCGATCGGCTTAAATCCGGTTTACGCAAATAACCCGATTCAATATACTTTAGCAAACAATGAAATACCTATACCAAACACAATTGCTATATATTTTTAGGATTATTTCGACGATCCGCCGTGAATGTTTCCCGTGTTATTTCAATGGTGAGATTATTTAGAAAATTATGCGATCATTCCCGTGTTAAATCATATTGCGCGAAAGTACGATTAGAGCAACTACGGTTACGCGATCTCTCAATTCCTGCGAAATTCAATATTCTAACGTCGAATAGAAGTGGCCCTGTATCTTCTAATGTCAATATGTATTATCTCGGCAGCTGCTCGCCTATGTATAAGGGTTGCACATATCTTTTGCGCCCGGCGTGCACTTTTCGCACGAAGCTGGATAGTCAATATCGTCTAGATAGATTAACGATCGAGTTGTTCACACTAGATTGATATTATATTTGACTTTCTACCGATCCCGCCGTTCTTCATCACTGCGTCACCACGACAGGGAATTCAGCGCGCAGTTAATAAGTAATAGCAAAGTCAAAGAGATAAGCCAATAACCGACGCGCGATCTTGTTAAATCCAAAAGTTTGCGCTACGTCCACATTTCAACGCTGTTCCTTATTAACTTGGCGCGAACAGAAAAAATTGACACGTATTCGTGCATAAATGTATTATAAGATTTGCATTCGTTATTAAAAATAACGTTTTTTTGGTGCAGCGTAAAATATAAATAAATGTACTAACCCGTTACTGTACGTCTGTGATATATTTTTTTCATTATACCTTGTATAACATCGTTGTAAAAAGATAATGGAACACGTTCGACTTTTACATACGAATAACGCCATTACAGTCTGTAATAAATGATAGACACGGGCAATGTCGACATCGAAAATATTTTTGACACGCTCTGCAAAAAGTACGAAGCAAATTTTTGGGGACACGGAAAATAAACTGCCTGAACCTTTTTCACGCTTTGAAATCTAGTTTTTCCGCATGGAACGCGGTACAAATGTATCTCGGTTGAAGTATCTCCCGTGACGTAGAGGTGCAAAGCTTATCCGTTCCGGGCAGCTTTTGGTATTAATCTGACTGGGCATAAATCTTTCGCTAATCCACGTAACGGTGTAACTCCCGGCTAACACTACATTGACGTTGTCATTGTTGCTGTAGCGAGAAATACGGAACTTGTTGAATACACGTATTCGAGAGGTCCGCAGTTACAGAGGAGTAGCTCGAAGTACTCGCGATTACCCATCCGCTTTTATAGCCGGTCGATCGACCCTAAGTGCTCCCTTTAAAGGGAGAAATCGAGCAATTCACGGATCGCGCGCGCGATACGACTAATTTACATTTTAACCGGCCTGATTCCCGGGAGAAAAATAATTGCATCGATTCCTTTTAACAACTTGGTAACTGCTTTGCAGATTATCTGTCTTACATTGACGGAAAAAATCCATATTCGTTTTCTGTGAAAAATAATCTTTCTTGTAAAAAAAAAAAAGAATTATGCAATCGTCCACAATTTACCAGTTATCTTTTGACTTGTCACCAATTATACACTAAAGTAGTGTATAATTTTGCTGAAGTAAGTACTTACAAATTCAGCTAAATATTGATCTAAATATAATTTTATTGGACTATTAAAATGATTATGTAGGATACTTAAAATAGTTGGTAGGACGTCAAAACTTTTTGCAGCATTGCTCATCAAACACTTAAATTTCACACATAATTAGTTTAAATAGTCCAACAAGATTATTTTCAGATCTGTATCTATTTAAATCTTTAGATATTCAACAAAATCGTTCTTCCTGTGTAAAAATGATATTAACAAATCATAAATATTTCATCATATTCGATTTTTATCGATACGATGTGACTACTTTTAGCTAAACCTTCACATCTTTTTTCGATCTTAAATCACTATTAACTACAAGGTGCGGAATAATTCAGACATAACGCGACAATTTTTTACATTTGCAAGGACAGTCAGTTTTCACGAGAGAACGAGGTCGGACGGAAGCACCGAAATTTTTCCGGAAATTTTACCGCGACGATCTCCGTCGCACGTGACGATTGAATTTGCCCTCACGGTCGTCGAAAACAGTCACGCAGCGTTTGCAGACTAAACCGAGCAATCTAAAATTATAGGAGCACCTGGACGGTGACGTTGCATATGGGACAGATAGGAAGATTTTATCTTCAGCCGCGCGCATCATTAATTTTCTTTCTACAAGAGTCAAGAGAGCTTTAACTTCCCGTTGAAAATACAAAGCCGGACATCGCGTCATTATCACGTGCGCCAGCGAGTCACCGCGACGATGTCATGACGTAATCTTTATCCTAATAAGTTAACACTCGCCATTGATTGATGTTTATTTCGGGGATGGTATGCCGTAACCGACTTGCATGTTAATTATCGGAGCGTCGCCCTACATTTTGCCATGCGGAAATAATCCGCGGCATCTCGTTTCCGGTTTCGGATGGAGAAGAGCAAGGGGCGGTTGACTGGCCAGAAGCGCACCTCGTAACTTAATTAGCGGGAGGAGCTGAGGTCTTTTTCCATCCGCTTCGATCATTCGCCGGATACAAGCGATTGTACAAAGTGAGGCGTTCCGGCTGCAAATTGAATCTTTCGTATCCCGATTTTACTTCTATTTCTTGACAGGATAATTCAAATTTCTTGCATTGGATATAAAATACTATTGCTTAAATATTCTTTACTGTCTTTTTATATTTCCCTCTATATTTTCCAATTACAATTTTTTACTTATACTATTTAAATAATAAATTGATCTACACTTACATTTGGTCCATTTGGTATTAGCTCGTATTGGCATTATTACCGCATTTGATTTTTCTCTCTCTGTATTTTTTTTCTGTTATATCTCAAATTTATGTTACTGTCATAATTTATAAAAATTTACATTAGAGAAATACTACTTTGAAGAGAAATGCTTTAAATTAATGTTATTTAATATATATATATATATATAAAGCTAAATATTTATTCCTTTTTATATCCCGTTACATTGCATCTCGCTTGCCCATGCCCCTGCGTCTATCCTTCCATAAATAATATTCTTCTACCCTACATTATTATGCTCTTCGACTTTCATCCTTGACCATAAATCTCTTAAGAGGAACTCCACGTGAGAGAGACACTCATGAATTAATTATTTTTTCGCATTCAGTAGCGCAAATTTATCTAGCTCCACACAAATCGAATAATATCCTGTTTTCAGTATACAAATCCGGTGTTTCTAAACGGAAAAGTCACTTCACCTGCCTCGTTTCCTACCTACTTGTACATTCTAACTTGGAATCCTCGAAACCCTCGGGTCACATTCGAACATTTGCGACAACACCGCACAACCCGATTGAATATAACTGAATGGAGAACGTCACCGGCGCGCGGCGCGCGGCGTTGCGGGAGAGATGTTTTCTCTAGCCTTAGAGAAACGCGCGCCGCTCGTGCTGCGTTCTGTATTTCGTGTAAAACGATGTAAAGTATATACCATGACTTCAAGTAGTGTGAGATTTTTAATCTTGGGAAGAGCTCCGTCCTTCCGGACGGC